ACATAAATAAAAAGTAAATGAAATGGAAAGTAATCACCATATATTCAATTTCATATAAAGAAAAATGGTGAAAATTTAACGGAAAAATATCCATTATAATTTAGTCCTGCTGAGGACAGACCTAGTTATCTGTTTAATTTCCTGGTACTAAATCAACTTACTGTATTCCAAGACTCGTGTTTAGTCTTTTCTTATGAAGTCAAAAGATTGCCTCTCAAAGCCTACTGCCATTAAAACAAGTATTAGAACTTCTGAAATATTGTTATTAGAGGAACACTCTGAGTCCAAAAATTTCTTTGTTAAACAGAAATTTTCAAAAGAAGGAAAAAAGGGGGAGGGAGGTGACAATGCCTTGCCAAAAAAAGGTTTACCTATTAACAACTACCACACATCACCAAAGGGTGACCAAAGTCGGCTCTTAAACTCCTTTAAAAATTTGCTCAGGTAAAATGAAGTTTTTATCTATAAACTAAAATGGCTTTGGACCATTAAAATTTTTCACATCAAACAAACCCAAGCACTATGAAAACATTCCCAACAACAAACTGTGCTGCTTGATGGAAATTCAAGTGTAAATCAAGGAGTGAGAATAACTAAAGTAAATCATTTTTAAAAACCATAAAGCATTGATGTAATTTTTCAAACACAACTGGTTAAAAAAAATTCCAAAATTTCTATATATTAAAAACCTGCAGTTCATTTTTGTTACAATGTGTTACAGCATGAAAAAGCCTTTACCCACTCAGCTGTGTTTAAGCCGAGTTTTAGCCTAGTTATCCAAAATTTCCAAATTTGTAAAAAAAAAAAAAAGGAATAAAAAAATTTTAAAAAGCTGAACTAGTGAAAGCTAATATATCCATTAGAAAGTTACTTAAGACAACTTAAAATTCTACAGTGCTACTTACTAACAGTTTGCACTGTGGAATCTACCCCAAATTAATCTCAAATGGGAAAAAACAAGTATTTATCAAGAAGCTTATATACAAATGGGTAAATCAAACTGTAATTTGAAAATTATTTCTCTTACTACAGAGGAAAATTATATAAATATTAGATAAATACACTTTAGATCCAGGACCATTTCTGAAAATTTAAGGAACTCATGAAAAATTTTATCAATGGATAATTGTAGCAGCTCCCTCCTCCAGGCTGGGAACTCTGACTCCAATTTTTTACACCCAGTAAGCCTTCCTATCTCTGAAAAATAATGGCAAATCAGAGTCACAGCTACGGAGCCCATTCTTCCCCCTAAACCTTCCTGCAAGTCAAATATTTAGCAATGAGGAAGGATAATCAAGGAGCCTCCTCCCCATCACTCCCACAGGCAGGGCAGACAGCTCTAGGGAGCAGGCCTGCAGTGGCTCACCTGACTGGCTTCCAGGCTCTGCCACTTATCTAGGCCATGAGCCTTCACATATTCAAGCATTTACTGAGGCCCTACTATGTGCATGGCACTGCTTCAGGTACTGGGGATGCAGTGGTGAATGAGACAGAAACAATTCCTGTTCTTAAGAAGCTTACTTACAGCCTAAATGGAAAAAAAAAAGGAGAAAATGCTCATGCTCTTATCTTGTAGGTAAGATGCTTTGATACAAAGAGATTTCATGGAAACAGCACTGCCAAAGTGCAGTAGTTCCGGGTATGGGTTTGAGAGTCAGAATGACCTAGATATGAATTCCTGCTCTGAGTAATTATCAGTTGAATGGATGGCACTTACTAACTTTACGAACTTAGGCAAGTTACTTAAACTCTTGTGCCTCAATGTCTTCAGTGATGAGGATTAAATCCATTAAGGACAGCACTTAGCATATCCTGAGTTTCACTCAGTAAATGGAGACTGCTGCTCTGAAAGAGGCTGGGGACTAGTAGGAGGGCAGCATTTTATCGTCTATTGGAATTCTTTATTCTGATCTACAATTAGTAAAAACACCAACTTTTTCGCCCCCAAATACTGCATAGTTACAACAACTTCAAAAACTGTACTTACCTTCCTGTAGCTCTGGCCTTAACTCCCGAAGTCCTGGAAACAAACTAAAGGGAGTGTTGCCCGGTGTCCTCCAGAAGGAAGGAGGTCCCGGCTCCTCCCATTTCCCTGCCCACTACTCCCTCCTCCTTCAGCCCCAGGCTAGGACGTGAACACTGCGGAGGAAGGGATCACCTCGAATTACAAAATTACTTAAGCACAAGGATGTGGCACATCTCCTACCTGCAGACCCAAGGGCACGACAGGTCCTCATGAACCGGTAAGGACGACTCTCGCCTCTTCCTGCCTAGGTTACCACAGCCTGTGGCAAGTACTCAAGTTTGGAAGGCAAGCAAGCTTTCCTCTGCCTGTGTTCTCAGGTACACACATCCATCTCTGGGACCCGGGAGTGGGGTTAGGGAAGGTATTCCCAAGTCCCCAGTCATAATTACCATCTCACTAGCACCTAATCGTCAAATTATTTTTAATATGAAAATTATTTTTTTAAGGTAACATTTATCTCCAATCTACACTCTGCAACTACCAATCTGAAAAAGCACATATCTGACAGTTGGCCCAGACACAAAGAACATAGTCCAAATGGTTAAAAAAAAAAAATCTAGAAATTAATCCTAGAAACAGACTCAGTAAATATGGAGGCTTGCATCCAGGGAGCTCACTAGCAGCACTGTCATAAGCATCAACCTGGAAGGAACCCACACGACCTGCATTAAAAGGGGGTCATCAAATAAATTACACAGACACCTCACCATTTAAAAGATCAAGGTACAGCTACCACATTTCATCAAGCCCAAGATGTCACTGTTTATAAATCATACCATTATTTTATTTAGGCTAAGGAAAACTCTGCCATACAACGATGACCTGCCATCACACAACACATCCCAATTCCAGTTTCCCTCAAGGCTCTTTCCTGTCTCATTCCTCTACCTCAGTCCATCTGGAACACATACCACCTTTGGAACAAGTCCCTTTGTGTCCTTTCCTCTTTCGCTTTTTCTAGAAGTTACCCTTATTTAAGATTCATTGTTTCCATGAAATCATTGTGGGCCTCTTCAGTTCCCATGGAGCCTTTCTGGAGTTCCAGCAGCCACCATTGCCATTGCCCATCTGAGTTAGCCTTGCATGCTTTCCCCTTTCCAAATGAATTGTAAGTACACAGAGACAGAGCCTGGACACATCTTCACATTCCCTGTAGTACACAATACAGGGCTATACCACCACCACCGCCAAAAACCCACACCTGTCAGTAACTGTTCTAAAGACTTCACAAATATTAACTCATTTAAGCATCACTATAACACCAGGAGGTAGGTATTATTACCTTCCCATTTTCAGATTGGGTCAAATGAGGTCAAGAAAGGTTGTAAGACTTAGAGGTTAGTGATTAGTAAATGGCAGAGACAGGACTCGAACCCACGCAATCTGGATAGAGTCCTGCTCTTAACCTCTATGCTATATTCTCTCTCTCAATGACCGCTATCTACACAAAAAACATTTTAAATTTTATTTATTTTTTTATTGGAGAACAGTGTGTTTTTCCAGGACCCATCAGCTCCAAGTCAAGCAGCTGTTTCACTCTAGCTGTGGAGGGTGCATCTCAGCGGCCCATGTGGGAATCGAACTAGCAACCTTGGTGTTGTGAACACTGCACTCTAATCAACCAAGCTAACCGGCCGCCCCTAAATTTTATTTCTTAATTGAAATATAATATACCTACACAGTGAAAAAGTTTATACTGTACAAAAGAGTATGCAAGAAAAGCTAGGTAAGTCGAACAGCCTCGATTTCTGGTGACTCATCCAGAAGGCAACCAGTGTTTCTTTTCCATTATTCCAGAAATTTGTTTCTGCACTTAGAAACTTGTTTCAGGTGTGCCCTCCCCCCCTCCCCCCACCCCCACAAACACACACAAATGGGCACATACGTTGTTCTGCATCTTGCCTTTTTCACTGAATGATATTATTTCTCTGAGCTTGATGCATATCTGCACTTATACTGTTTTGATTTTAAGATACACATAGTCACACTTTAACCCAAGATGGTTTCATGAAGTCAGAGGATCTTGATATGCATGGGCTTCCTTAGGAAACAGGAGTCACCAAAGATATCAAGGGTTAGCCTTACAGAAATGTGTAAGGCTGAATCAAGAGACACCTACTGAGTGACAGTCAACATGTCACTTCTATAAGACTAAGTATCTACATTATAGAGTTGTTGTGAGTACTAAACAAGGTAATGTACACTAAGCACTTAACACCAAGCCTGACTAGCACAGTGAGTCTAAGGCAGCGGTTCTCAACCTGTGGGTCGCGACCCTTTGGGGGTCGAACGACCCTTTCACAGGGGTCGCCTAAGACAATCGGAAAACGAAAAGATATTTACATTATGATTCATAACAGTAGCAAAATTACAGTTATAGAGTAGCAATGAAAATAATTTTATGGTTGGGGGTCACCACAACATGAGGAACTGTATTAAGGGGTCATGGCATTAGGAAGGTTGAGAACCGCTGGTCTAAGGGATTAACATTGTACTTGCTGCACTGTTAGTACCCAATATATTAGATATTATTTCCTCAAGAGCTGGTCTCACTTTCCTCTCCAATCTCATTCTACTTGTCTATAGATACCTGTCCACTCTTCACCTTAAATCTCCTGCAGCTCACAGACCTCGGGCTTGCTTACCTCTACACCTTTGTACCTGTGATCACCTTGCCTAAGTCTTCTCCCCTTACTGTGGTGCTGGACTCATTTTTTCCCATAGTACTCAGCTCAAGCACAGCCTTCTCCAGGAAGTCTTCCCTGACAACTGCAGCTGGAGTCTCTGGACAAGCAGTTTGGGAAGAGCCTATCTGTCATGACTTCCACATTCTGGAGCTCAGCTTTGTCAGAGCACCGAGGAGCAAGCAGGTTCTGGGGAACTGATTCAGGCTATCTAAGTTCAAAGATGACTGGTGTATTAACCAGAAGGGCAGTTACTAAGTTTATAAATACTGGCAAGAGATAATACTTACTGAGCAATTAGCAGGTGCCAGGCAGCAAAGAGGAAGGTGCTATTATCCCCATCCTACAGATAGGAAAACAGAGAGATCAGCCAGCATCCCAAGACCAGGATCTGACCCAAGCAGTCTGGATGCAGAGCTCTCAACCACTCACATTCTCTCCTTGGCAGGGAATCTTCGTGTGAACCCGTGTTATAATCAGAGGGTACTAAGAGCATGGAAGCAGAGTAGGGGAATGTTTCTCCCGGCTAAAGGCATCAACAGGGATGTACCCATCTGACTGGTAGTGCAGAGACTCAGTGAGGAACTGCACATAGTTCCTCTGCTTAAAGCCACCATCCCAATTTCCATAGACACAAACCAACCCTCTCCTTCTAGAAATGTAGTCTTTCTTCTGAAGATACAAAATTAAGTTTAAGCATTCAGGCTACAAACACATTCCAATTATGCCTTCCTGGGGTTATAACTGGGTCATTTTGGTTGAACTTAAAGTTTTCCCTGAAATTCTCCAACTACATTTACAAATGTCTCTTGGCTTGTATCTTTTCTATAGATAGCTGATTTGTGTAACATTTATTCTGATTCATGCTCAGATGATCACTGATTCATTCAACAAAAACTTAATTGTTCCCAGAACATGTGTTCCAGGCCCTGAAGAAGGACAGGCCACCTTGGGAAGCAATGAGGGGCTCCAACACCTGGAGAAAGTATGGCCTCAGGAACATGTCCAGGGGTCAGTTAGAGGGAGATAAAGTAATTACTTGCAGCAAAGTCTGAGTTGGGGTCACTGAGTGGAGAGAGGGTGAGGGAGTGAAGTGCATCTCTAACTTAAAGTCACATACTGAATGAGTGAGGAGGAGTGTGTATTTGGGGAAAGGGGTAAAGGCATGAAGCCAGGTTTTAGAAAATGCTCCCAGGGAGATGTGGGAAGAAGAGGAGCAACAAAGACAAGTGAAAAAAACACAAGTCACAAAGAAAATGACCACAACAGCTCCAAGTCAAGAAGACCAACCAAGAGGACATTCACAATGGCAAGAAAGGTAGCTCACCATGCCAAATATTTATATGGTCAAGGTCAAGGGCAATGAGTAAGCAGCAGCCTCTGCATCTATCAATTAGGGGACCCTCAAGAGGACAGTTTCGGTAGAGATGGAGACATCTGAAGCACAACCCCTGACACATTCGGGTTCTCAGAACTTATCTAAGAGAAAATGGCATCCTGCTTTTTCTGCAACACCGAAATAAAGCAATTCCTTATTTAAGCCAACATTTTTTGTCTACCTAGAAATGTCATCACTTTCCACTAAGGACAAAGTCACAGGAGGGAAAGGGAGAAAGTGGACACCCAACCCATGCCTACTAACTCTCAGATACAATTATTTTCCTACAGACTTGGAAGACCCACTTGACATAAAGCTTCTGGTGTATTAGACTTCAGGTTTTCAACAGAAGAAACACCTAGTAAAATTTTCAGCAGAATCATGTGCAACTTGTTTAAAAATTTTTAAAGAGGATGCTTAAAACATGCTGTCTTCCAAAAATCCAGAGATAATTTTAGATTGAAAAATCTAGGCTTGCCAAGGGAATCTGAGAACTTTTCTATCTTGGTCTCCAATGCTAACCTACGTATTGGTGTGCAAAAATAGAGGAAGATTAGAATCTCAAATGCCAGACTGAAAAGTTGCCACAACAAACCTCAACTCTTCATATGGTTTGTTATCTTGTCAGAAAGAAAGCAAATGAAACAGCAACAAACTACACTTTTTACTTTAAAAGATAAAAGAAAAAAAAAACCCTCAAACATTAAGTATTTCCTGGACTTGTAAAGGAAAATGACTTTTAAAAAATAGAGTGAATTTAAAAACAGCACTCACAAAATCTAAGTATCAAATTTGTAAGTAGCTCTTTACGAACACATACTTAAAACTTCAGGTCTAAAATATGATAAAATGGCAGTTATACTTCAATAAAATTGGGACAACTAACCCATTAGGAAAATATTTCATACCTTAAATCAAAATCAAATTTTAAGTAAATTAAATAGCTTACTTAAATTAAATTTTAAGTAAAACAAAAAGTGAAATGAGAAGCAAACATGGATGGAATATTTTATAACAAACGGATGGAGAATTTATGTCAACAGTGGAAAAAAAATACTGTCTTTTTAAAATGAATGCTACCTTTTCTCTCATTTGTAAATGTATCCTAAAACAACAATCAGACAAATCCTTTTGCAGAATTGTTTTATCTTGTGACGAACTGGAAACAATCTAACTGTTCAGCAGTAGGGCTTGATTAAATTATGATATACAATGATATACTATGAAGCCCATTGAAGTGGTAATACATATCTATATTTATTGGTATCACCAAAACGTTAAGTAATGTTTGTCACTTAGTGGTAGGGTGGCGGATGACTGTCATTTTAAAAAGTAGTGTCACAATACTTTTTCTGTTGTCTTGAATGTGAGGAGAGGAGAATGAATAGGTTTTTATAATAAGGATGAGGGGCGGGAACAAGCTATTTTCAAATCGCCCCCCCCACCCAAGCTGAGTGTTTATCTGGCAAATTTTGTAAGGAGTATAAACAAAATTCTTATCATGCCAAGCAGGCATGCTTCTTTCCTCGCCGGGAACTGAGCAGGAAGACACACCCCTGACCCTGCGCTCGCAGCACGCGCGTGGGTCCTTCATCCTTCTCAGGCTGGGCCCTCCCGGGGTCTCCGCGGAACCGCTCCCGGCCCGGCTGAGCCAACTGGCTCAGCCCAGCCGGAAAACTGTGTTCTTCGGCGGCCGGGTACCGCGGGGGAAGGTGCGCGCAGCCCGCCGGGCAGCCGCAGGGCGGCGTGAGGGCCACGTCCCCAGCCAGTCCCAGCGGACCCCGGCCTCCCACAGGCCGCCGTCCCTCCACCGACTGCTCTGCGGGCTTCCGGGAACGGGTCTCGGCACCGGCCCGAGGGAGCGCCTTGCCCCCAACCCACCCCCGCCAGCGTCCTCGGGGTCCCCCGCCGCGCCCCCCGGTCCCGGGCACGAGCCAGGAGGCCCCTCCGGGCTTCCGTCCGGCCGGCCAGTGCCCCCACCACCCGGCGTCCTCCACAGCCGACGGGCAAGGGGCGGGAGACTACGGCCCCGCGCCCTACGGCCCCGAGCGGACCGGCGCCCCGCGAACTCGTTCAGTGGCCAACCCCGGCTGCGACCCACCGGCCACCGGCCACCCCCAACCCCAACCCCAACCCCGCCCGCCTGCGCCAGGCAGCGCCCGCTCGCGCCCGCTCCTCACCTGCGAAGCGCCCCGGCCGCAGCGCACCGCCCGGACCGGCTGTGTACACCGGAAGTGACGTCTCCTGGCCGGCCCCGCCCCCGCCCCAAGCGGACGCCGGTGTGGCTGCGGACCCAGAGGCTCGGAGCGGAACCCTCCTTGCGCAGGCAGGGTGGGGGCGGCCCCCTGAACCTCCTTCCCTAGGGACCGAGGACCTTCGTGTGGGACTACTAGGGCGGGGTTGAGGACAGGCGGCCGGAGCCGCACCCCAATCCTCCATTGTGGCTTGGCCTCCAAGCGAGAGGAGTCAGCGGCGTCCTCAAGGATTTGTTATTGAAATTGATTATTGAAATATTGAGCGCTTACTAGATGCCAGGCCTTGACAGGCACTGTAGGACTGGATAATGCCCTCACACTCATAGGTTTATTCTCTGGTGGTGGAAACACAATGAAATTGTCACAAATATGCGTGATGATATTCTGCCAATTGTGACAAGTGGTAGGAGCGGAAAGTGGAAGAGGGAGGGTGCCCCCTGACCTAGTGAAGGCGGGTGATCAGAAATTCTTCGCCCAGAAAATGAGCAAGAGTTGTGGTCCTAAAGGGAAGAAGAAGAATAAAACTTGGAGAAGCAGAGAGGAAAGGACATTTCCACAGAAGAAACAGCAGGTGTCTTCAATGGCTTTGTATTCCAAGAAATTAAGGGTGGTGAGGTGTTACCTGAGAGCATTGGGAAACTGAGTTTTAAGCAAGGGGTGATTTTACCATACTTGTGGTTTTAAAGGGATTACTTGAGCTACGTTGTGGGAGGCAAGAATGGATGTAGGTTTGTATGCCCATGTTTATATCAGCAGCATTATTCATAATCAACGAGGTGGAAGCAACCCAACTGTCCACTGATGGATAAATGGATAAACAAAATGCGGTATATACACACAACGGAATATGAGTCAGCCTTAAAAAGGAAGGACATCCTGACATGCTATTAATACAAATGGATAAACCATGAAGATGATGCTAAGTAAAATAAGCCAGTCCCAAAAGGACAAATATTCTATAATGCCACTTATATGAGTACCTAGAGCTGTCAAGTTTATAGAGACAGAAAGTAGAATGGTAGTTGCCAGGGACTGGGGGGGAAGGGAACATAGGAAGTTTATATTTAATGGGTATACAGAGTTTCAGGTTGGGAAGATGAAAAATTTCTGGAGGTGAATGTGGTGTTGGTTACACAACGTGGATTTACTTGATGCCACAAAGCTATACGTTTAAAAATTGTTAAAATTGTACATTTTATCTATATTTTACCACAATCAATTAATAGATATAGAGGTCTGTCAGGAGGCTATTTCGATGGACCATGAAAAAGGTGATCCTGATTTAGACCAGAACCTCCACATTTTTTAACATCTATCAGAAAAAAAGCTTGACTATCACCTAGATTTTATTTATAAATTATATATAGACACTACACTGCTAATGTACTATTTACATTATGAAACATACATAAAGAAAATTTATAGATAAAAACAACAGTATATAGAGAAGTTCTAACAGTTTCTTCCTCTTCCCCTGTAGATTGCCTTCTTACACTAGTGGGTATGTGAACCTCCCTGTCAAAGCCACTCAGACTATGCTAGTGGTAATGGAGAATAAAGCCAGCAATTAAATAGATATGGAGGGTCAGGAAAGGGAGGGAATCCTAAACCTCTTTTGGGTCTCTGGGACAAGCCATTGTAGTGGTGACACTCACAGTAATGGGAAGCCCCTGAAGACCACCATATTTGGAAAATAGGAAGAAGGCCACAAGTGCCATTGTGAACATGACAGAGGAAGCACCAAGCAGGTGTTTGGGGATGGGGATTTAGAGCTTTGGAAGAATTCTGGAGATGTCACTGGGGCCTACGTGGTCATTGAACTGTGGGTAGGAGCTGCAGGTAGGTGTGGATTAAGGGGAGGCTCTTTGGTGGTTGATTTTTTAAGGTGGAAGAGACTTCAACATGTTTCAATGTCAGAGAAGAGGATCTGGTTGACAAAAAGAAGCTGAGTATACAGGACAGAGACGTTCTGGTTCATTTTGTGAGTTTCAGAAAAGGCTGGAGAGGCATCTAAAATGCTTGGCAATGGGTTTACCTCAGGCTGCAGCCAAGAGTGATGGGAGCTTGAGGACGCAGGTGTGAGAAGAGTGAAAAAGGTCTGAAAGCAGAAAGGTGAGTTGACAGGAAATGTGGTAGATTTCCAAAGTGTGCTGAGGATCTATTTCAGATTGATAACCATTAATTCAGAGTACAACCCTCTTTCCCATTAAGTGATTTGCCCAAGGAGCTTTCAGGTAAAAGTGAAGAAGGCGGAGCAAGGATTCACCTGGGGGTTGAATAACAGAGAGAGGGGTAAGAGTGTTACAGACATGATGGGCTGTGGAACCCTAGCTAAGGGAGGAGGGATGTGAGGAGGAAGAGAACAGCTGGGTTGGAGAAGTGTTCCTTGGTGTGTCATCTTATCTTTATAGGCTGGAAAGGGCCCAGAGATGATGGTGGCTGGCTTCCGAGTGGGCCACCTGTGGCTCCTGCAGTCTCAGCATAAGCCCATCATCTCTTATTTAGAGGTCCTCCTAGCTCCTACTACAGGCCCCAGAAGGCTCCAGTGGCCATGTCTACAGGTACTTGGTAAATACTAGATGGGACTTTAAAGAGGCCCCCTCCCCATGTGGCAGGCCCTGACCCACAGGCCCAACCATTGCTGCTCACTTCACTCCACACATCATGGTTCCACAGTAAGGTGCTGGAAACCACTTGTGACTGGCACCATCTGGGCCCCGTCTATAGACTTCAATCCAGGGCCAGGAGGTTTTGGAGATCCATTCAGCCATATGTGGCTCTTATTTGAGCTCAGTGTGAACAGTGCCAAGTTTGGGCGGCCTCTGTGGAGCTCTGAGCACCAGGTGGTCTTGGACCTCTCCAGATTACCTGAGGACATTTTGTATTGTCCATATCAAGTCTGCTTTGGGAGCACATCTACAGTTATCATACTCCTAGAGGTTTGAACTACTTGTTTCCACTCATCAAACACACATACATATGGAGAGGGAGGGGGAAAGCACCCATGGACCCACCACACAGGTGGTGATATTTGTCACTTCATATCACCTGTTTATTCCAAATTATCTTGCACCAGAGTGCTGAGAAAACAGGATGGACCCCACAGGGTTTGGAGATGGGGGCCAGGCTGTCTTGGAGCACCGATGTTCAGGGACAGAAGCTGTGATCCTCCAGTTCTGCAGAGAGGTCTACGGCTGGAGCCTCAACGTGCACACAGGGATGGGGTGGCACCCCAGAGACTGATAAACCAACACCTCAATTTGCCACTTAGGAGGCCAAGAAGGCCCAGGCCAGGGAACAGGTCCTTCCCTGAATCTATCTGTTAGAGGCAGAGTTGGAGCCAGAGCCTGTGGATGGATGAAAGCCTCGGAGGTCATCACCCTTGAGAAGAGAGCAGAACAAGGATTCAGGAGCTCCTCAATGACTGAAGAGCCCTACATTAGTGAGAAGGGTCAGAGATGCTCATTGACCTTAGCATGAGATGCCTTCCCTCGCTGAGAAAAAAAGATTTGCTACGGCTAGCTTTCATGAGGGCTTCACATTCCTCATGTCAGAAAGACTGAAGAATATGAACATCCCACCTAGAGGGCTCAGAAGGGATCAGAGAACTGATTTTCTTAAGCAGCCAAAGTTCTTACTGTTGGCTGTGTACTCTTCATGGCAGGGCTTCCAAGCTGGGCTTTTACATGTTAGTTTTAGCGAGGCTGCCTGAAAGAAGAGCCTTCAGAGGAGTTTTCACAGCCAAGTGTTGGGGAAAAGGGAAGACAGGGGCAATGAGCTTGAGTCTGGAGAGAGTAACTTTTCCACTTTATTGGTCTCCCTTGGGTGGAGTGTGAAAACTGCAAGATGGGCTGTGAGCCCCAGGAAGGGTAGCTGCATTCCAGAATCCACAGGATTTGGGACAAAGTCTGGAGAGGGCTGGCCAGACATTCTGCACACAGAGCAGCTGGCTGTCTGCTGAGTACAAGAGACTAGGGCGAGGCCAGTCCAGTCTAGCTCTGGTGGCATGGCCCAGGCAGGAAATGGGGTGAGGATGGTGTGGGTCATGTGCTGAAGAGGAAACTTCTCCCCCAGTCTCCAGATTGCCTCCCTGAGGAAGTCACTCCTTATTCCTCCCTTTCCCCTATACAGGGCAGACAATTAAGTTCATGAACATGTTGCAACAATGTTGCTAACCTTTTTTGATATCAGAGGGATTATTCATTATGAATTTGTACCAACTGGACAAACAGTTAACCGAGTTTACTATTTGGAAGTGCTGAAAAGGCTGTGTGAAAAAGTTAGACGACCTGAACTTTTTGCCAATTCATGGCTCTTGCATCACGACAATGCTCCAGCTCACACAGCACTGTCTGTGAGGGAGTTTTTAGCCAGTAAACAAATAACTGTATTGGAACACCCTCCCTACTCACCTGATCTGGCCCCCAATGACTTCTTTCTTTATCCAAAGATAAAGGAAATATTGAAAGGAAGACCTTTTGATGACATTCAGGACATCAAGGGTAATATGATGACAGCTCTGATGGCCATTCCAGAAAAAGAGTTCCAAAATTGCTTTGAAGGGTGGAATAGGTGCTGGCGTCGGTGCATAGCTTCCCAAGGGGAGTACTTCGATGGTGACCGTAGTGATATTCAGCAATGAGGTATGTAGCACTTTTTTTTTTTTTAAAGATTTTATTGGGGAATTGAGGGAGGAGAACAGCGCTGGGGGATCGAGGGAAGCGGAGCAGACAAGTTGCTGTCCTTTTGTTCTTCAGTCTAGTAGTGGAGAACGTTGCTTCACTGGCCCATGTTGGTATTATCATTGCACTCTTCCTGGGTGAGGCAGATCGATCGCCGGCCTCTGGACGGCCGCTCACGGCGGCTCTTGGCAGCTCACACCAGCTGCCAGCCTCTCACTCTGGCTGCTGGCCAAACACGGTAGCTTATGGCAGCCCATTGCAGCAGGAGCTGCAGCCTGGGCCGTCGC